CATATTATTATTTGATTCTATCGATACCCAAGCACAAGATTTTCTTTGACTTTGGCTAAAACATTTTATTATTCTTTGGGTTCTAACTCATTGCATCAATTATATCATTTTGGCTTATTCCTTTATACTATTATTAATATACATACCATATAAATTCATATAATTATTCAATTCCAAGTCTAAGATAAGTGCTGACCTTTTGCTAATATATTTTATTATTCTTTTAGAGTTCTAAATTCTAACATTTAATCGATTATACTATTTTGGCTCATTCATATATCACAATTATCTTTTTACTTACTTTTTGTATACTCTTTATACTGATATAACTGGTTGGAAGAGCAATATGCATGATTCACAGTTTAGCTCTAGTAACTACTTTTAGAGTTCTGCAAGTACCAGGTATAGGTTCAGATACCATTTTTAATAGCACATATCTGGTATTTGCAGAACTCTAGCCAAAATAGTTTGGGTTATATTAGTAGTTAGAAATTAATAAACAGTATATTGATATTACTATACTACTCATGATTTGATCAGAAAGCTTTTTTAAACACTTCTCTATTTTATTAACTAGAACTATTAATACTTTTATATATTTTAGAAATCTAGCTTCTTACTAAATATATCACATATTGGTTTTTACTGTAATGGTGAGCAAGATAGGACCCCGAGCTATACATAGATAGGTTAGAATTTATTTTTGCTTATTTTTGACTATTTTTTTGCAGATCTTTACTATTTTTAGTAATATATGCTTATTTTTAACTATTTTTATGCAGATCTTTTACTTTTTTAGTAATTTGTTAAGATTTTTTAAAAATCTTAGCTGTACATAGATTGCTCGGGGTCCTAGCAAGATTTAGTATAGTAAAAAATTATACTTAATTTATGTACATGATTTGAATATATTAACTAAATAGTACTAGATATTAAACTTTAATGAAACATGAAACATATATTAATATATAATTCTAAAATAGACCAACTCTTTAGTGTAGTTTGTGTGTAATATCAGTCAAGTTTTTTATTATACCGGGTTGATGAAAAGTAACTTTTTTTTAATTACTGATATACTATTTATAATTAATTAATACTAATACCATTATCATATAGATATAATAAATAATTATAAAAATTCAATATTAGCAAAAATAGTAAAAAAGGGCACTGTCTAGTTACTTTTTACTAATCTGATATATTGTAGAGTATTTTTGCATTAATTTAATAAATGAATAATTCAAGTTGACCTAAGTCAACAGATTGAAAAAAGCTAAACAGGAGTACACTAGTATCATACTGTAATCTAGTTCAAGCCAATACAAACCAGGTTACGAGCAGAAACAATTATTATTCCTAATCAGGCATAATTAACCTTAATACTATAAGATAGAGCATATGAATTCAGATAAGTAGAATATAATTAATTGCTTAGTTGAGATGCGGATAACTAATAATTGTATTATAATAGGTTAGGATAAAAAGAATAGAAGCAGTCATAAGAAGAGCACTACGCTAGCAATTGCTAAAGATATTTAATATTCACACCTGATCCTACTTACCCACTGCAATATTGGGAGAATCTTGCTACTTCAAGTAACTTAAATCTTCATATTAAAGTCAGCTTGTGTTATTCAGTATAGAGACTACTGACTGATACTATGTATCATGAATTCAACTGATGATAAAAATACCTGGCACCATCTTGGTAGCTATTTCTGGTCTCAATTTGTACATCAATGTACTGATGTATGCAGCATATCCTATATAAAATTATATATCTGGTGCTATTAGCCAGATGTATCAAAAAAAATAGTAAATAAAATTGTACATATATGTGCAGTACTTTTCATAACAAACTGATTAATTGAATATGTAGATCAGATAGATCCTGTTATAATAAAGCAATTAATTGAATCGAACCAGTTGTAAAAACTGATTAATCAGATATAACTAGTTATAGTATATTTGGTTTATTAGAGTAAAAATTTTTTAAACCAGTTTAAAATTCTAAATGATTAAACCTGATTAAAAATCTGATATACTAAACCAGTTCCAATCTCTATTCCAGAGGTTTTTTTTATACTATTTATATTATATTACCTGATATTGTAAAAATAGAGAATTTTAATTAATTGAGTATTATATAAGATTGAATAGTATTCACTAAATTTTTTGTAAATTTTTAGAATTGGTTCTAAACAAAAATTTGACAATTGTTCTTTTTTTTTAATTTGGTAGTTCTGCCTATTACTCTTTATTTAAAAGTACCAGAACTTATATCAACAGGAAGATATAATTTTTATACTATATTCTATATAAGTAAAAATCAACTTGAGTTAAACTTAGAGAATGATCCACCTAGCAGCAATTGGCTTCACATTAGATCCTCAACTTTTTGAGGATATGAACTCTTTGATCCTTAGCTCTAGCAGCTGCATTGCTTCATCAAAAGAGCCAAATTAATGAAGCACAAATACAAAAGAAAAAATAAAACAGAGATAAAGAAGATACGATAAAAGATACAAACAAAAAAAGGAAAAAAAGAGATAAGGAAGTATCAAAAAAAACAAAAAAAAGAAAATTTGTCTATTCTAATGATTACTATTATAAGCCTGTGAATAACTTGTAAAAATTACATACTACTAAATAAAATAGTCTCTACTCTAAATTTATCTAAATAGTATATAAAAGTTCAAAACTAGTAGAAAAATACTTTTTTAACCTAATAATATAGGGTCAGTACTTGATTCTAGTCTTGAAGTATTGTTTATCAGCTTGTTGTATTTGAGATACATGCTTTGACATGTTTGTTATCCTGTTGTACTGATTTAAAAAGTAAATAATACTGACTATTTTGTTGTATATAATGTTGATCTTTTGGAGGGAGTAAACTGAAACACCCACTTTTTATAAAAATTTCTCGAAAAAATGTGGTGAATTAACAAGAGTATATGAGGTTCTTCTTGTAAAAGTTATAGTTGTATAGTCTAGTTTTTCAGTTTTTACTTAGTATTCCTGTTTAGAGACCTACAGTAACATTGCTCCTAAAATATCTTTTTGGATTGAATATCGAAAGTGCAAAAGAGTCTACTAAAAGCTTGACTTAAAGATATAGCCCACTTGTTGTTTATATGCCTGCTTCTCAGTATTTCACATATAAAAAGTTTCATTGATAGCAAGTATGTTTGTATAGTACTAGAAATATTTAGGTGTTTACTTTGTTGCTTTCCTATATTATTTTTCTGTAGTTCAGTTTATTTTATTGTTGATCAAAAGATCATTAGAAAGAGTTTTGATTTGTATATTTCAAAAATTTGACAATTGTAAAAGTATTTCAAAAGTTTTTTTTTATAGTGTTATTGAAATTTAATATTTTAAATTCGATTTTCCAATTTCTTGCTTACCTTGAATATAACTCAAAATTTTGATTATACTAAGTGTATCATTTTTAAAATTTTGTTAAATATAAAACCACTATTAAAAATATATAAAATTTTAATTAAAGCATGAAAGGTAGTTCAAATTAGTATAAATTTTTTAAATTTAGAAATAATTTTTTTTTCATTTTTGTGCTATATTACATGCAGGAGCTAATCAAATAATCAATTTTATTTATCATATATATTATAAATACTGCAAAAAAATAAATTGCTATGTAATTCTTGTTTTCTTTCTTATTTTTTTTCAGTTATCCACTTAGTTTAAAATAGATTCTAATACACAATCTACACAAAACATCTTTTGTGAATGTAAAAACCAGATAGAACAAAAACAATATGCAAGACATATATCACGTGCTGAAGAAACGCCTGTAGCCAAATCTCTGAAAGCCTTTATGAATAAAAAAACTGTTTGGCAAAAAAAGCTTATACCTGCTATATTGTGAATAAAATGAATGAAGAAGCCAAACAATGTCAAAGTGCTTAAAGGCAATCATATGCTTACTAATATAAAAAAAAAATACAAAACAAATTGAATTATGAAGAAAACAACAAAATAAAGCTAAATATTGTATTACTAATGTGGTATATATTGAAAATTATAATACAAGGGTGGTATTTCCACACAACTACAGACATATAGATGTTGAATATTCTAAATATAAGGTACTATACTAGATAAAAGAGAAGGTTGCTAAATCAAAATGAGCTTTAATTTTTAGCATCTGTTGTGCAAAGGATAAAATACAATTGCTAGCCATTGAAAGACTATCTACAGTATTATATATACTTTAACAGATGAAACTACGCAGCACAAGATTTTCATAAAAGATTCATATATACAACTCAGCCCTTGTATTTACTTCTATTAGTGCTTAATCGACAAATGAGTTGCTAGAACACATAGCATATACAATTTTCATATTCAAGAAGAATTATATCATCATATTGGCTCTATTATATCTAAAAATAGAAATATACTATTTTGTTTACAAATTTATATATTTGATATGAATGACTAACTATAGTGAAGATATCAATTAATACCAAATCTTGATCTTATCATACTCGTATAACTTCAAACAATGCTTTATAAAGTTAATCCTTATATGCATAGCTTTTAAACACAGCTCACATTTTAAATAAAAATCTGTTACAAGAATTAAGGATTGTTATAATAAAATCAAGACAAGATCTTTAATATACAACTCCTACTATATCTGAAGTTGCTATTCTTATAATTAGAGATAGTTAAGAAGTTGAACTATCTAATCAAAATATCATATTACATAAACAGGGTAATAGTTTTTAGCATATTTCCAGAAATTCATTAAAAATATATTCTCTTGTATTACATTTTGCTTTTTTTATATAGTGAATCAGGATGGCATTCTAGTATTAATCTAAAAGACCAACAACAGATATCTACAATTAATAAAGATTTAGATAATACAACTAAAGTGAAATTGACTCTACTAATAACAGTATGACTAGAGAATTTATATTTATAATACAATATTATATATATCAATTACAGTTGTGATTTCATGAATCTGGTGAGATATTTGCTCTATATAGGTCTAGTCATCTGTTTCAACAATATATTGTTGATATATATACATATATTGAGCAAAATTGATTGAATTATTTGAGATACAACTAGAAAACTATCTGATTAGAAATATAGTATACCCAGTAGACTTCGTATTGCCATCGAATTATTCTTCTGTCAAGCTTTATTGGTGGATACAATATATGAAACAATTATACTAAGATGCCATAACTATTCTCAGACAGTTAGAAAAGCCAGATCTTTTTATAACCATGATTTGCAATTCTAAATAGCCAAAATTCAAGCAGAATTACTTTTGGATCAATCAGTACAAGACCACTCTGACTTTTATATATGAATTTTCAGGTTAAACTGAGTGTCTTCTTTAAAAATATTCTAAAGAACAGAATTTTTGGATGTATACTTGGATATATCTATGCTATAGAAGTGCAGATATGTGGCTTGCTTCATGCTTATATATTATTCATTTTAGTATCAGAGGATATACCCTATATTACTGAAGATTTTGATTATATTATTTCAGCAGAAATACCAGATCCTCAACTATATTCTGAAGAGTATAAAACTGTGATTAAATACATACTGCATAGACTATGTGGCATATTCAATCCTATACATGCAAGAAAAAATGCTCAAAAATATATCTGAAATCATTTTAACAAGTTACCTGTCAAAACAAAGATAGATATCCGATTTATCATCATTGCTATAATAAATAAAGAGTTCAAGTTAGAGGTGTTATGCTTGATAATTGCTGGGTTATATCACATAATTTTATCTATACAAAAAGTATTAATACTATATTAATATTGAGATTTGCTTTTCAATATATATAGTGAAATATCTTTTCAAATAAGTAGTAGTAGTGAAATTAATATATCAACTATAGTAACAGCAGAGACAACTATAGAATTAGTTGATAAAATCTGACAATATATTAACACATGTTATATATCAGCTTCTGAAGCATTTTGGCAGATCATGTATTTTAAGAATTAACTAGGGCAGCCCTCCCAAAGTGCCAGTAATATAAATTATTTTTACTAATCAGATAATACTATATATTTAACAATAAGCAATAATTTAATATATATAGTATTATTCTATTGTTAAAGTAATATGTAACTAGCACTTTTGAAAGGCTGCCCTAGCTAATTTGTATTTTAAAATATACAATAAAATACCTGACATCATGCATTTAATTGTACATCTTCTAGAATACTACATAGTTATTTTTTTAGATAACGAATCTCTTGATACTATTTTACAATAAGCACAGAATAAAAATCGATATTAACTGCTTTGTTGAAGCTAATAGAGATCTAATGCTCACTTCATTAGCAAGTAATTATATATATGCTTAATTTTCACAAGCTTTGTTTTCAATAAAAACAAAAAAATGGTAACCCCATATCTAAGACAATACAATCAGCCATATATACTTTGTATATCCTAAAGCAGAAGAATGCTTTTACTTGTATTTACTTTTAAATGTTGTATATAGGGCACATTCATTTAATTAATATTCAAAAATGCTTGTTAAGCTTTAGATCTGTTACAAGATGATCATTAATAGGATCTTTGTTTAAAAGAAACTATCAAAATAAAAACAGAACACCAGGTTTGGTCCCTATTTTCAATTATATTAATCAACTATCAATCTAATGAACTCAAATATTTGTGAACAAATATATTGCAGTATTCACTGATGATATCTTGCATCATGCATATTGGCAATTGCAAAATCCTGAATTACAACTAAGTAAATATGAAATTCAAAGTGATATATTAAAGGTAAGATAAAGGATTTACATTTCTAATAGTAATCACGTTATTAAATTTTTTTACAATAACATTCAATTAAAATCAGGTGATGATCATATGTTATTTATATGTATAACTTAGACAAATTTTGTGCAACTTAGGCAAATCAAAATAGTAAAAATATATGAAAATTGATTTTTACTATATTTGTCAAGTAATTACTATTAAAAATAAAGATTGTTTACTCTACTTTTAAATAGATTAGAAAGTATTCTTTTACAACAAAATAAATCATTAAAAGACTTTTCAAATATGTTCTATTCAAATTCTGTTCAGAAATTTAAAAATTTGTTAATAAATGATGATTTAAATTATGATATAGATATCTTTATTCAGTCAGTTGAACTGAATACAAGCAGGTTAAATAAGAATCAATAAACCATCTTTAATAAAATCATTCAAGCTATCAAAAATAATAATCTTGTATGCTTTTTATAAACAGACCCACAGAAACTAGCAAAACATTTCTTTACAAAAATCTTCTAGCTAATTGCGTTTAAATAGAAGTATTGTGCTAGCTATTGCTTCATCTAGAATTGCTATGCTAGTATTTGAGGAAGGTTGTAAGATGTATTCCTGATTTAAAATTTCTATTAATCTAGATGAAGATTTGATTTGCAACATATCTGTATACTCTGATTTTGCTGAGCTTTTAAAACAAACCATGCTCATTATTTGAAATAAAGTTCTAATAATATATTACCATGCATTTAAGACCATCAATTGTTTTTTAAGAGATATTATAAACTCTGTTGATTTGAGCTTTAGAAATATACTATTTGGTAGGAAATTATTTGTTTTTGGCAAAGATTTTTAGCAAATTCTTCTAGTTATTCCAAAAGATAGATATGAAGATATAGTTAATACCAGTTTTTGCTATTCGTACTTATAGCAGTATGTTAAAATATAAAAGTTAACAATCAACATGTATTTATATACTGCATCAAATAATTCAGATGATTTAAATGATATTGCTCAGAGAAAGTTTGCAAACTGGCTTCTACTGATTGATGAAAGTTGAATAACTGAGGTCATACCACATAAAATTTCTTTAAAAAAAATCAATTTTTTTTAAAGAAATTTAATTTTGCAATATTTTGAAATTATTTTGGTTGAAATATATTTCAAAATATTTCAAATATTTTACTAAATTTTTTTAAAAATTGCATTTTTCGAAATATTTCAAAAATTATTGCATTTATTTCCAAAATTTTTTATATTGCAAAATCTTTCACAATATTATACATCTATAAATTTGCTAATGTAGACTTACTTTAATCAAAATATTCAGATATCTCACATATAATTTATTCTCTATACTATAATTGGTTATAACTCTACTACTAGACTTATTTTGATCAAAATATTCAGGTATTCTACACATGATCTGTTTGCTATATTATAATTGGCTATAACTCTACTACTTGATTTATTTTAATCAAAATGTTTGGATGTCCTACACGTGATCTATTTGCTATACTATGAGTGGCTATAACTCTAATACTAGATTTATTTTGATCAAAATATTCAGATATCTTACACGTGTTCTATTTGCTATACTATGATTAGCTATAACTCTTACTTTGATCAAAATGTCCAGATGTTCCACACGTGATCTATTCACTACACTATAATTGGCTATAACTCTACTACTAGACTTGTTTTGATCAAAATATCAGGATATCCCATACATGATTTATTTATTATACTATAACTAGCTATAACTTTACTATTAGACTTACTTTGATCAAAATATACAAATATCCCACACATGATCATTCACTATACTATGATTGGCTATAACTCTATTATTAGACTTACTTTGATCAAAATATCAAGATATTCTATATATAATCTATTTGCTATATTATGATATATATAGCAATTTGCTTTGGACATTAACAGATTCTGTTAATCTAGTATAATGTATAAAGAACTATTTAATTTTACTATATTTGAAATGAAAAAATTTTAAATACTATAACAATTATAAATTATTTTATATAATTTATATGATACATAATTATTAACAGTCTTGAGTAATTAGTTACTAAATATAATAAGTTATTTTTAATTAAGCTAATTTAAAAAAGTTTGTATCTTAACAATTATAAATAAGTTGTATGCTAATCTTATTTAAAAAATAAAACTTATATACTATGATAATTTATAAATTCATAACAAATACAGTATATATCACAAAGACATGTTTAACAAACTAATAAGTTTTGCAAAAGAATTATATAACAAACAGCAATAATGAACTTTACAAAGATTTATATAAAAAATCTAAAAACTTTTTATATAATAATAGTTTAGTTTTCAATACATTTGTCAACTCTTTCTGCTAATCATCAAAACCCAAATTTTTAGAAAAAACAAAACAATAAAAACTACAAAAAATACACCAAGACCACTAGGAAACTAAACTCAAAGCTCTAAAAAAAGAGAAAGAGGTCTACAAGAAATATTCAGTTTTTTAGAAAACTTAAATAGAAGAAGCAGAACTAGTGAAGAAATTAAAGAAGTTATAAAAAATCATCAATATTTTTTTGTATTTTACAAATTTTTGGGGAATTGGCCTTGACCCTAAATCATAGATCTGTTTTTGTAATACAAAAATCACAATACATAATAGAAAGTAAACAAAGAAAATATAACAAAAACTATGTAACAAAAGTAAACAAAGCTGTTAAACATGCGCAGCAAACAACAATATCTTTTAACAACAATGGAAAAACAACAAGTCATGTGAAGCAATTATTAACAAAGTGCTAAAAAAAAAATTAAAATACTAGAAAATATGAAGGTAGTATTAAAAGAAATCTAAACCTTAATAGCAGAAATATCTGATAAAGATATAGACGAACGAGTAGAAGAAATAATGACAAAATATACTGGACAGAAGCTCCTTTCAAAAAAATAGTTAATAAACAAATAAAAAAGCTCTATAAAGAGCTATAGCAGTATAACAGAGAAGAATTAGAATATACAGTATCTGTACTTATAGAAAGAAACTACAAGATATTTTATAAAACAATACAAGTTGGTAAAGATTCTGTTAACTGTATTATAAAAGAAAAAATATATAGTATCATGGTAAAAGTAAGACTAGATGATGAAATAAGAAAAAGTAAAGAAGAGGAAAGAAAAAGATCTACAAACCTAGACCACAAAAGGAGAAAAATTCGAGCAGACTATCTGAGATTTAGAAATAAAAGACCAAAGAAAAGCCCAAAGCACTTTGAAAAAAAGAAAGCTTACAGAAGAATATATCTAGAAAAGCTTGTTAGAAGAAGTTCTCAAGAAGTAGAAGAACACTATGATATTGCAAAGCAAGAAGAGAAGACTATTAAAAAGAATACAAGAAGACTCCTGAAAACTAGGTTACTTATTAAAAAAGATAAACTAAATTGAAAGAAGAGGAAAAAAAAATGTAAATATAAACAAAAGAATTCTGACAATTTTCTTTATTGAAAGATAAAATAGAATTACTTGTTAGAAAAAAATTAGATTTTGATTATTGTTTAAAAAGGAGAATAGTTTAGTAAGAGAAAATTGCCAATTAGATATAGTCAAAAATTCTTTCGATTTGAAACTATCTTGCTATAGTTTTACTGGCTAGCTTGTATAGCCTTCTGGTATAGGCAATAGCCTTAACCGATTAAGCAGACCACACTTGGGCACCCTTAGAGAAAGCCGAGTGATATTAGATCTATAGCTTAGATAGTTATAAAATGTTTTATATATTTTACTTTGATCTAATAAAAATACTAGCGAGGCTGCTGATACTTCAAAAAAAATAAAATAATAATAATAATTTAGTTTTAATTTGTAATATTTCTGTAATAAGTATCAAAAACTTATTCTTACTATAATAGTTCAATTTTATTTTTTTTGCTTGCTTCACAAAAGGCTTGCATAGTAAAGATTTTGTATAATAAATATAATAAGTATTAAAAATCTTTTCTCAAAACTTCATATCAATTTAATGAAAAATGTCTATAAGGCTGTTCAAAGTTGATTAGTTGTTTAATGTCAAACTTTTAGATTCAGATAAAGAAAAGGTGAAAAAATTTAAATATATCACAGATTATTATTTGATTAAATAGTTGCTTTATCTGTAGACTTTTATATATTATGATATTTTTACTTGCTTTACAGATAGAAAGATAAAAATAATAATTTAAGCTATAGTTAAATATCTGTTAAATCATTAAAATATCACAGATAATGCTAAAATCGAAGTTTAAATCTATTTTATAGTGCTTTTCAAATTACTACAATTAGTGAATTTTATATGCCACATACTATATAGAATCTGGAATTAAAATAAAATTTTATTGATTTTCACTAATCACAATAATTTGAAGATTTTTTGAACTTTATTATAGGCAGCTGATATTTATACCCCTAATTTTGTTATTTGTACCCCTGTAGATTAAATTTTTTTTCAACTTTGAGTGATGATATCTCGACAACTACCAAACCAATTTGATAAATTTTTTTTTATTTGAATTCTACAGCTTTGTAGAATTAAATAAAAAAAATCTATTAATTTTGGCTTGGTGGTTGTCAAGATATCTTTGCTTAAAGTTGAAAAAAAATTTGATACAGCTTATATTTTAAAAGATATTTTGAGTTTTTTAAAACTATGAGCTATGATATCTCAACAACTACAAGTCAAATTTGATGATTTTTTTTATTTAAATTTTGCAGCTCTGTAAAATTTAAAAATATATATATATATCAAATTTGGCTTAATGTTGTCAAGATATCATCACTCAAAGTTTTAAAAACTCAAAACATTTATCAAAATAAAAGCTATGCTTTTTTAAAACTTTGAGCAATGATATCTCAACAACTATCAAGCCAAATTTAATATATATATATTTTTTAAATTTTACAGCTTTGTAGAATTCAAATAAAAAAATTTATTAAATTTGACTTGGTATTTTTTAAAATATCATTGCTCAAAGTTTTAAAAAACTCAAAACGTCTATTAAAATAAAAGCTTTGCCAAAATTTTTCTTTAACTTTGAGCAAAGATATCTCGACAACTACCAAGCCAAAATTAATAAATTTTTTATTTATTTTAATTTTACAAAACAGTAAAATTCAAATAAAAAACTTCATCATATTTGGCTTGGTGGTTGTTGAGATATCTTCGCTCAAAGCTAAAAAATTAATTTACAAGATGTACGAATAACAAAATTGGGATATAAATATCAGCCACCTTATTATATAATGTATATTTAAAATAAACTTACTCACCAATTAGTTTTAAAAAGACTAGTCTATAGCTGTCTTTTTTAGTTCATAATATTTCTATCTAAAGTTTCTATAGATATATATTTAATCACTATCCAGTTATATTTTTAATTTTGAACAGGATTTAAGTGACTATAATGATAAAACTACAAACTATAAAATACAATTTATTTAATAGCTTAAATTACACAAATATTTGATATCTTGCATTATGATTGGCTTGTTTAATTTTAGGGAAACAGCTAACCTGGAGAGAGGTTACATTAAACAACTAATTAATTTTGAATAGCCTAATTAGTGATTATAGCAGGAAATAAAATATCTACTTATTTACTGCCTATTTGCTATATTGATGCCCATCGTTTAAAGTATTATTTTTGATACACCAAAGTAAAAATTATATGTATTAATTACTTTAACAATAGTCATAAATAACAAATAGAAATAAAAGAATTTTTTCACTATTTTAATAGTAATCATTAAATTTCTGAAGATTAAAAAAAAGTAAATACCAATTCAATTAAATATTGTCAAATAGTAATAACCAAATATCTCAACATATTATTCATATTACTAGAAATTTTTAATTAAGTTAGAAGAATAAATATCCATAGCTTGAATATAATTCTCAGAACAACCAAATATTTTGCACTTTGTACCAGGCTTATAATAAAAAGAATAACTTTGCAAAAAATGATACAATTAAATAAATATGTTATTTATATTTTAAATACTTAAATAATTAAATTATTTATATTTTAATTAGGATCTAAAAATATTAAACTTTATACTATTAAAGAATATATTAAAACCAAAGATCATATTGATGTATATAAAAGAAAAAAAATCATTACTGTACTACTTGGACATGTTATAAGTTTAATAAAAATTGTTTATTTTATGACGCAAAATAATATTCCATTAAAACTTGGCTGTACTATTAACTCTCTATATTTAATCTCTAAAAATAGTTCAATTACATATAAAAATAGTGTATATAGATATGAGTTATTATTTTCTATTGCTACTTCAGTTGAAGCTAGTATTTGGAAAGAATTATGCCTTGCAATAGCTATAGGCATTACAGTTGATGAAAGTACTGATATTGCAACAGAATTATATATTATTGTTTATATTAAATATATTTTCAATAATATTATTAAAATTTGATTTTTAAGCTTATTGCAAATTGAAATAATAATTCAATATATATCTATAATACTATAATTAAACTTTTATTTCTAAAAGTATATTTAAATAATTTGATTATTTTTACTATATTTATACTATATATACTAATAATTACTATTATTATTATACTTTAAATAGATATTTAACATAAAATTTTTTCATTTGCATTAGATAGTACAAGTGTAATGCAATAAAGTATAAATGATATTGCTATATAAATAGTTCAAATAAATCTATATATGATTACTACATACTGTATTGTATATAGACTATTATTAGTCTGTGAATCTGTTAAAAAACAGGTATAATTTTGTTTATATGCTAAATTTATATTAAGAAAAGTTTATACTTTTTTTAGTAAATCTACTAAACAAGTTCAAATATTATCAAAATATCAAGAATCTTATAATAAACCTATTTCAAAAATTCTTAAAATTTTTGATGTTCAATGGCTTTCTTTATATAAAGCTATAAATAATTTTTGTTTTTTAGTAGAACCCTTATTAGATACACTTTTACATTTATAACTGAATCAAAGAATCAAAAATTTAATCATCAATTTAAATTTATATTCAGAACTTTGCAATTGGCAAATATTAGCTTTTTTTATTTTCTCCAAGACATTCTTACAGAACTTGCAAAATTATGTAAGAAATTTCAAATCTGCTTTCTTTATTTTTCTGACATATACCCTATAATTCATACTACAATCACAATATTAAAACAAAATTACTTAGATATAGATTAATAATAATCATAGATTAGGTCTAAATCTTAATAGATTTTTTAATACTATACCTTTTGAAAAAATACTAAAATTGGATCATATAAACTTATTTGGACATTAGAGCAAGAAGATTATTTATTTGCTGATATTACAAATTTTACATCAGCAAT